AAGATGCTGTCAGCTGCTTTATGCATCAGACCCCCCTGCAGGACCCCAGCTTCCTTGTTTAGGGGACATGCTCATACATGCTGCAGTGAACCAGATGCAGCAGCCTGAATTAGATTCCTGGCCAGAGATTTGACCCACATGGCATAGCAGATCTCTTCTGTCTTCTCCCACTGGTCCCCTCAGTAGTGTGTTTCAGTAGATCTGCCTGTTCTGCTTCCTGATCTGTCTCTTGGTGAATCCTCTCACCTCCCACACCTCTGGCCTACATCTCAGTTCTTCTACACAAAAATAAATAAATAAAATCTTTAAAAATTATATAATAAAAACAAATGCGCTTTTTTACAATTCTGGAAGTATAAAATATATAGGATGTTGGCGTCTAGTAAGGGCTCTCTTTCTGCCTTGCAAAGGGCACCTTTTCATAGTATCCTAACATGATGAAAAGCAAGTGCTCTGTTGTCTCTTTGACAAAGGCACTAATCCCATCATGGGGCCCCAACTCCTTAACTTCAGCTAACTCTCCTATCCATAAGGCCCCACCTCCAAATACTATTACATAGGATTTCAACATATGAAATTTTGGGGGCACAAGCATTCAGTACCTAACAGGACTCCTCTTCCTTGTTTGAATGACACCAAATAAGATGCTGTCAGCTGCTTTATGCATCAGACCCCCCTGCAGGACCCCAGCTTCCTTGTTTAGGGGACATGCTCATACATGCTGCAGTGAACCAGATGCCCTGCTCAGCTCTGAAACAAAGCATCCTGTCTTGTGAAGGGTGTACATAATCCTAAGTGATGACATGACACCATAGCCTTGAATGGAGGTCAGTGCTTGCCAGAGAACAAAGTTGGCAGAACAGTGCTGTGGCCTCAGACCAGAAGGCCTGGCTAGTGGCAACACCGACAAGGTGCTCTGCTTCCATGTCCCTCCAGCTCCACTGACTGTCCTCTCTCCAGACCATTTTGAGGCTCTTCTTTAATTACCCTGCCTTCTTGTTCAGCAAAAACTAACCTTCTTGCAAAAGTTTTTTAGAGTTTGTGATATATTTATTATAAATGTATGAGGGTAGATAACAACTCTCCCCTTCTGGTTGATTTCTCCTTCCATATACATGCACCCCTACTTTTATTGGCTTAGTCCTCTCAAGTAGTGATCTGTGATGTCAGCCCAACTTTATCTGTCTTTGTCTGTCTGTCTGTATCGTCTGTGTCTGTGTCTGTCTGTCTGTCTACCTATCAATCATTTAATTGTCTGCCATCTGTCTGCCCACATCTCTTCATCCATTCACCCATCATCTGTTATCTGTCTATCCATTAGCTATCCCTCCATCCATTTATCAATCCTCTATATGTCCATCTACCTTTTTATCCTCCATCTATATCTCCCATCTATCTTTATATTCATCTGTCCACACTTTTGTCTCCCTGTATGTCTGTCTTATCTAATATCTAGCTTACTGTCTGTGTACCCCCTCGATGTTTAAAAAACAACCTATGCCATAGCTGATTGCATTGAACCATCTGAACACAAATCAACATTCTTGAACAGTTTTTTGCATTTTTGATCAGACACATGCACATACTTATTCATTCTTCTTTCACCCTTTCTCTTAGGTAACAGTTTGCTTTAAAAGCAGGAGAGGAGAAGAAAGGAAAATATCATGTTTTAAAAATGTATAAACAAGTGTTATTTATGGATTTATTCCCTGACAGCCAGGATGAATTATAGAAGCCATTTTATTAATATGGCTGTAGCTGCACATATACACTTATTTTAATTTAGCCTTTGAGAACATTGAGCTTGTAAGTCTTCAGAATCTGTAATACCTGGCTTGAAAGGGGGTCCTGCAAGCTTCTGTCAGCCTTTCCTTACGGTGCAAAAAAAAACCTTCTGCATAAAGTAGGTTCATGGAGGTGACCATACAGCCCTCCCTCCAAGGATCTCAGAATGTATCAGCACTGGAATTTACCTCTGTGGCCCTCAGTTTCCCTTTTTAAGAACAAGAGTAGGAATGCTTCCCTAGAGGCTTAGATGTAAACTGTAGGATACTCAGTCTGCTGGATACTCACTGGGTACCAAAATCCCTTCTCCAGCAGTTACTCTTCCCACAAAGCATGGCAGACCTCCCTAATCTGGCAGCTTTTGCCTTGTGAGAGCTGGGGTCACTCAGGGCAGTGAGGGAGCCACCCTGTAAAAGGCAGCTTGTTGCAGTTGTCAGAAACACCTGCCTCAGGCACGTGTACTATCAAGAGTGGGGATGGTGCTGAGACCCTGATGCTTATAGCGTGCAGCGTTGGGTGTGACTTGTCAATTTGTACAAAGAAACTTGTTGGATATTTCACTAGGGTTGCTTTGATTCTTTTTTTTTAATGACTTTATTAAAAAATACTTTTATTTATGCATACAGAACTGGTATACAGGCCAGAAGTACATGGGTGGTGAGAGGATTCACCAGAGACAGAGAGGGGAGCAGAATAGGCAGATCAATGAAGTACACTGCTGAGGGGAGCAGCAAGCGAGACAGGAGAGGTCTGTTGCCCCATGTGGGTCACCTCCAGGGGATCGAATTTGCACTGAAGCAGCTGCGGCTTGCCTGCAGTGTTGCACCTTAACCCGTTGTGCCACCAAGGAGGGCCGATTGCTTTGATTCTACATAATAGTTTGGGGTACAGAGAAATCTTAACATCAGGTCTTCCACCATAAACAAATAAAGTTCTCCATATATTCAGCTTACATTTAATTTCTCAGCTTATCTGACAACCTTGCTATTGCCAGTGTGCCCACCTTTAGTGGCTGTCCCAACATCATCTCTACAGATGGCATGGTTTTGGGTGATGCTGTATATAAGTGATGTGTTCCAGGTGCTTTTTTTTATAACTATTTATTTACTTAGGCATAGGAGAACTGGAGTATAGACCAGAGGTGCAGGGGGTGAGAGGACTCACCAGAGACAAAGCAGGGAGCAGAACAGTTGGATTGACTGAAATACACTGCTGAGGAGAGCAGCGAGCAAGATAGGAGAGGTCTGCTGTGCCAAATGCAAATTAGCTTCCTGGCCAGGGATCAAACTCAGGCCTCAGCGGTGATAGTGCTGAATTAAGAGTAGGTTAACCCCTAGGTTAACCACTAGGGAGGCTCTCCAAATACTTGGCTACTGATTTCCAGCTTAATTTCATTATGGTCACAGGACATAACTTTGAATTACTAAAATCCTTCTCAGTATATGGAGTCTCCTTTGGCCATGTGTGAGGCCTGTCTTTGTTAGTGTCCACTGGAAAGTCGGTGTGTTCTGCTATTTAGTCAGGTTGATGCTTATAAACGTGAGTTAGTTGAGAGGATTGTTAGTGTTCAAGTCTACTTTCTCCTTCTGGTTTTCTTCTAATTGTATCAATTATTGAAGAAGTGACATTGAAATCTCTGGAACTGTTTCTCCTTGTACTTCTAGAGATTTGGCTTCATCCAAATCTAGTCCCCTTTTAGTGTGTAAATGTGTGGGACTGTTCTATCAGTTACCTGACCACTGGCTATGAAATGTTCTGAGTGCTGCTCTTTCCTTCCTGGACTGCTTGCAAGTTTGTTTATTTGTTCTTTATCACTGATTTTGAACAATTATTTTCATATTTGGAAGTTTTCTTTGCACCATCTTCATGTATAGTAAACTTCTCTCTTGCAAAGTCATTAATCCTACTATTGTGTTTTTCATTTTGTTCTTTTTCTGTATCTTCCACTCTCTGTGTTAAACCTTTCAGCAATGTAGTTAATTCCTATTGATTGCTTATTCTCCTCACTATAGATTATTTAGAGTTTCCTACTCTTCAAGGCCTATAATCTTAGATTATGTGGCCCACAGTGTATCTGTTAGTTTGATGGGTTCTGATGTTTTCATTTTGTATAAAGCTTCTTGAACTCCTTTCAGAGTTACAACTAAGTTTCTTGGAAAGCACTTGACTCTTTTTTATTTTGCTTTTAGATTTACTAGGCTGACCTGAACTATTCTCTGTTTAGAGATAATTCTCTCCCAGTCCTGAGTCAGAACTTTCTAGAATTCTCTATGGAGTACAATTGTTCCATTCTGGCTTGTGGGGACAGGTTCTGTTCTTGGACCTTTGTAAGTGGCTGGCACTGCCTCCTTCCCTGCATGCCCTGCAATTTGATTTTTTTTTTAAAGATTTATTTATTTATTCGTACAGAACTGGGGTACAGGCCAGAGATGCGGAGGGTGAGAGGATTCACCAGAGACAAAGTGGGAAGCAGAACAGGCAGATTGACGAAGTACACTGCTGAGGGGAGCAGCAGGCGGGTCAGGAGAGGTCTGCCGCGCCATGTGGTCGCCTCCGGGGCAGGTGGGAATCGAACTCATGGGGAAGCGGCTTTAGTTTCTTAGTGCTGTGCTTTAACCCGCTGCGCCACCAGAGAGGGCCTGCAATTTGATTTTTAAGAAGATGACCAAAATAGACACCTTGTTAGGGTGAACTGAAACCAGGCCTCCCTTCCTTTCTTGTTCACTGCTCTTTCCTTGGCCTCAGATCCCATAAAGTCTCAGGGGGCTCTGTACAGCCCTGCCCTTTGCCCTGGTTCTTCTCTCATCTCCATGCTTCAGCCATACCCACACCAATAGAGATCTTTCTCTCCATCATTTTGGAAACTTTCCAGAATCATGACCTCAGTTCTCAGTATCCTCTCCAATATGTTGCCTTCCGGGAGTGAATGGAGGGCATAGGACACACAAAGGTTCCACTTGTACCTAGAGGGATCTAGGTAATTCTTCATATACCCTTTGAGCATAGGTGATGAAGAACCTTCTTCTGAAGAAGAAGCAGGTGCTGCTTGTACATGCATCCTGTGCTTGCATATTTTTACAGTCATTTCTTAATGTCATTCCTAACATCATAGTTAACACAACTTATTGTAACCTTTCACCAGAGAGAGTAGAGAGTAGGACATCTCCATTGTGGGCTCCTGTTGGTATACTATCACAGTCTTCCTTTCCTTGTAGGCTGAAAATTGAAGAACTTGAAGGGGAAAGGAGTCGTTTGGAAGAAGAGAAGAAGGTTCTAGAAGCACAGCTTGAGAGGTTCACCCTACAGGTAAGCACTAGCAGACAGTGCTGGTGTTTCACATCAGACACATTCTGACCTCCTATAAATCTCTTCATAGATTTGAGTGCACATCATTCCACAAGTAGCCAGTTTGCTGACTCACCTGACTACACTAACTCTCTGTCACCCCTGGCTGTTGAGTGTCCCAGAGCCCTGCAGAGAGGATGTCCTCATAGGCCTGCGGTCTTGTTCACGGATGTCATTCCCTCTTCTGCTGCCTGCCACATGCCCACTGTCCATCTGATATCTCTGTTGCAGGGGCTGATGTGATGGCCATGTATGGGGTATGGGGTACCCAAGGGAGAGCTGTGTCTGCCTAGGTGTTCAAACCCTCCTTCCTGAGGTCCTGATGTTGGACCACTGTTTACATTTTCCTTTGTTTTTGTTTATCTCCTCCTGTCTAAGTTTTTCCTTGGCAAGAAACTGGCAGATTTACCGTTACCCAAACTTTGGACAGACCATTGATTTTATCTTGACACCTATTAGAGGCAAATCACATCTCTCTTTTATTACCAATGCCTGGAGATGGGAGAAGTGACAACTTTGATAAAATGAGGTGCTGTGAGCTGCTCTGGACTGTGCACAGCTCAGGACCTGTCATCTTCTGCAGTTTAATTGGACTGCTGTCCTTGGATAGAGAGCTGGGCTGCTGGCAGGTGAGTCCTGATGCCCGTGTTAAAGTGGGCTTAGGGATGTCTTCCCGGGTATTTAGACCAGCACAGTCTGAGATCATGGCTGGATGACTTAGCTCACTTCCTTTATTCCTATTTCTGGGCTGTAAGATCTTTCAAAGGAGTCCTGCAGTGACCCCTGGCCAGGGCGTTGAGGGTGCTAGGTGAGCGCATTGTCCAGTGGCCGTTGCTACCTCAGGCATTACTATGTAAGAAACAGGGTGGGCAGTGCCTCACCTCACCTGCATCCCAGGTGACATGCTGGGCATCTATGCTCTAAGTGGGCCTGGGCACAGTGAGGGGCTCCACTGTGGTACTGGAGCTTGCTTCTGACCAAGGAAGTTGCCTGGAGAAGGTTTGGGTCCTTATCTGTGTGACTTTGCTCTTAGCATCGAGGTCTCCCGTACTCTGTGTGTACAGGAGCAGGGCACCAGCTGATGTGAGCCCAAATTGGGAGCATGAAGCCCAGGGTTTACCTGCAAGGTGTGTGTGTGTGTGTGTGTGTGTGTGTGTGTGTGAGAGAGAGAGAGAGAGAGAGAGAGAGAGAGAGAGAGAGAGAGAGAGAGAGAGAGAGCAGCTGCCCACACTAAGAGGGCACTGCACGTGCAGTCTGCTTATATCATACTGGCAGAGCAGATCCTGGTGGTTCTTAGTTTCACATCAAAAATGGGAGACACAGAAGCCTGAAAGAGTACAGGGTAGGGGCTTCTAGATAGCGGTGCTGCTCCCTTTGCTCCTAGAGTGGTTATTCTGGAGCCACACCTTGGGTCAGGGGTCAGGTGAGGATACTGACTCACAGCTGATGTTCCCTGAATGCTCTTGCCACCCTCCTCTCCTTCACCTGTGTGTCTGGATCCATCGGTCTCAGGAAGCAGCAGGAGAGTCCATGATGGCCTTCTGGTAGCCTGGTACTACGCCTTAGTACATGGCTCATTATCCTTCCCACCCCCTGCCCAGTGCACCCTGGGCTTCCTCTGTATAGATCTCAGAATTGCATCCCGATTGGCGTGGACTGAAGAGGGCTTCCTTGTATCATACCAGTACCACCGTGCGCCTTGATGGAGCAGCCTGCTGGAGTATTCCATGTACCGATGCCTTCTCCTGCTCTCCTCCTTCCCTCTGGAGGAGTCTTCAAGTTGGGCTGCTTCAAGGAAGATTGATTAAAATCAGCTGTAGTTTGACTTAATTGGGAACATATGCTTGGAGAGGGCGCTTGACTAGTTAGAACTTTTTGTAATTAGTTCACAGCTGGTCGGCAAGGAAACAAACTCCAGTTAACGCACCAGAGCTGGGTCCACACCCCTTCAGGGTATGGGTAGGGGGCATGCCTGTGAGCAAGACCCTACGTCACTTCCAGTGCGGTGGTGGCGTGAGTGCCTGAGGGGCCTCGCCTCTTCCCAGGCTCAGCAGGGTGACCTGTCATCTCCCGCATGGCGCCTGTGGGACTGCACGGCAGCTGTCTGGACGCCAGTGCTTAGATCTACAATTGCTTTTGTGTCACCCAGGCCCTGGTTTCCGATGGGAGACCAAGGCTAAGTAGCCAGCATTTGGATAGCTCAGACACACCATGTTTCAGAGGCAGAACAGGGGTGAACATGCCACCATATTTTTAATAAAGGCTGAATTGAGCAAACTCATGGGGTGCCAGGGCCAAGAACAGAGGAAGTTCCTTGGTTGCTACTATTTCTGTAGCAGTCAGGGCTCAGTAACCACACCCCTAGTGGGCCAGTGGGAAACACCTCTGATCCCCAGGCCTGTAGCCCTGGGCACCCCAGCTTTCCCCAGTGGCCCTGCCCATGTCTAGCAGTCTCTCATGACCCCCGGCCCCCAATTTCTTTCTATCCTTGGTCTCTCCCAGTCTTACTCCACCCCACTGAGGTTTTCCAAAAGAAAGACAGTGGTCAAGGAAACACAGTAGTGCCATATGTTACTTGTTCTGACCTACCTCTGATGGCTGCTCACCTGAGCAGGTGGACTGGGCTTGGTTTGCCCCTCAGAAGGTGGGGCCCAGGGCTCAGTCTACTCATCAGGGACATGGCACTGATGCCACTTCCTGATAGGATAGTTCCCAGCCAGGGCCCATCACACGTCTAGTGGATGTGGTCACTGCTGCTGCCATTACAGTGATGAAGGACACCCCTGTTTTACCCAGCTGTACACGTGGTGTGTTTCTGATGGACCTCATGGAACCCCCGAAATTCGAGGCCTAGAGAGCTTGTCTGTCAGACGCCTCACCAGGGCCAACCACCGCTAGTGTGACAGCCACACCTCTGGTGAGGAAGCACAGCCTGGCCAACTGCTCTTGCTTGGTGCCCTTGTCCTGGGCCCAGCCCACTTGTCAGAGTGATCCAGCATGCAAACCCAAAATTTTGACTAACATTCTGGATTTTGCCAAAATTTTGACAAACATTCCTAAGCATACAGGAAAGTTGAAAAAAAAAATTTAAGTGAACATCCATGTATCGACCACCCATATCCTGCCATGGACATTTACTATGGTTGCTTGATGACATCTCTGCCCATCCCTTTTCCATTCAGCAATTCATTTTATTTTCAGCTCAAAAATGACTAAGCAGAATTTACCTTTGGCCCTCAGCATAGCCTAATCACAGTGCTTATTCATTCAGGAAGGTTGGTGTTGGGGGGGTGAGGTGTGGAGCCCCTTACTTGGAGAAGTCCCCTTGGGGCTTCTGGAGCCAGGCCTGGCCCATCTGCTTCCCTGTTGTTGGCAGGGATGGGGCTGCCCCACAACCAGTCTGCACTGCTGCTCAGGAAAGGGACCAGACTAGCAGCCCAGTGACATTTAAAATAAGTGTATCTTTTTTGGAAATGGAGTGGGTAGAAAATTGCTGGGTTCCCTGTGAGCAGAAAGCTCACGGTGCCCGCAGAGACTGTCCCCACTCCCGGCCCTGCGTCACCAGGCTCTCAGCACTGTCTAATCATAGACTCCCTTGCCTCCGCCTGCTTCCTTTTTCCGAATACCGAGGGCAGGGATGGACCTTCACTGCACCTCATGCCTTGTTGCCCTCTTCATTATCAATGTGGTGACAACCCCAGACCCCTGGTCTACTTTCCACACAGCAGACCCCTGTGAGTTCCTGACGGCTTCCTCCTCTTCAGGCTCCTGCCAGCCTGTTACTCTGGGGACCTCTGTCCCTATCTCCACTTATTCCCACCTGTTCCCACTTAGCAGGAGTCCAGAATCCAGAGCAGTCCTGGCCTCTCCTCAGAGTTTTACATATGGGACTATGGCTGCTGCCCAGTCCCTTGGGCATGTCCCACCTCTGACTGCTTAGATTGCTTCACTAGTCCACTCCCAATACTTCCGGAATGTCCTCTGGGCATTGCTTTCTGGAAGAGCAGAACATGTTGCTAGAGATGTCTGGATTTGGGATGAATCCAGAGATTGTTCCATGCTGAGGAGGTTATGTCCCCTGGGTGAGGAATTCTGGCCTCAAGGCCTGATGTCACTCTGAGGTTCGCATGTTCAGTGTCCGTGGACCTAGCAAAGCACAGGCTGCAGGGTGAAGGTAGCCATGGCCATTGCACTGTAGGATGGCGCTGGCTGGGCACCCACCTCCACTGCATACCTCCTCGCTGGAAGACCACTGGAGGCACCATCCAGAGACCCTGCTGGGGTCTTTTGTTGATTCTCAGCGCACTGAGGAAGGGATGCAATGGAGGTGAAAGGTGCCTATGGGCAGCAGAAGCCCTGCAGCTCCCCTGGTAGAGGTCAAGGCCATCCCTGGCCTGCTCAGCGCCCATTTCTGCTCTGAAAGGCTGAGATGTCTGTGTGAAGAGCACAGTCCACAGCCTCCCTTGCCACACCTATCATTGCGGAAGCAGAGCTGTAGGAGCTCAGGCTGAGCCTCTCAGGACAGCCAGTGCAAGCAGCATGATACCTTTCAGCCAGCCTCCCTGCCCTGACCCTCCCACGCCCCACCCATCACCCCTGGGCTCCCATCACCTCCTCTGAGCTGTGGAGGACCTGTGTGGTGCCCACAGGATCTGCTTGCGGGTCAGCTTGGCCCACTGGATGTAAGTTCTGAGGGCTAAGACCTTGCCTAGATCACCTAGACAGCATCAGCCAGAGTCACTGTGGGGCAGTGTGGGCAGCAGGAGAGACTGCTCTTGCGGGCTTTAGATATGTACTTTATGGATGTTTGACCCCAAGGAAGCCACTCAACCTCCCAGTTCCCTAACCTTCATTTGAAAAGTGAGGATGAAGAGCCCACTTCCTAGAGTGACTGCGAGGACTAGGTGAATTGTGCATATAAAGCATTTGTGTAGCTCCTCTCGGAGAAACTTCTTTGAACT